CATATGCAAACAAATTCTCGTCAAACAGTATCATTAAATATTTATGGGAATGTTATGATTAATTTAAAAATGTGATTTCACAGTATACAATTATATTTACATACATATATGGTGGTCTAACATTGATCGATTATGACTTCAAATGTGTAACTTAACAATATTCACAACCCCGTAATGCAATCACCTGTGCTCACTAGTTGCTAGCTCCGTGTGGAATCTTCTCCGAGTGGTAGTGGGAACTTGTGACCAGTGAAGTTCAACCTGTCCTGGTATAGACAGTAACTACCGAAAACAGTGTATGTGGTTGTGCAACTCCGTGAATTGATTGAAGTTAGACATTAACAGCGTTAGATACCGGCTCAGTGGTCCAGAGGTTAAGCGTTAGCGCGCAAGACCGATGACCCTGGGTTCGAATACTGTGAGGTTCAGGAGTTGTGGATGCGCACTGCTGATAAGTCCCATACTATGATTATCTTCAAGAAAACTCACGTTGTAAATCAATGATGGAGTGAGAATTTCACTTTGTGATGAATTTTATTTTCATAAATGTATACGCCCAGATCTATACATATTTTGGTAATTAAATAATGATAACAGTAATAATTTAGTGAATATACAATAACGGAGAAACGAATAAAAATCTTAAATTATTTCAAATTCATCAAAACACTGAAAATATAATTGTTAAGATTTTAATTAGAAGTTAATAAATAATTAGTAAATGTAAAAACGAAAAGTATTGAGGAATAAAACTAATTCATTCGAGAGTGAGACATCAGTAAAGAAGTAGACAGGTAATGCACAGTTATGCACAATTATATAGTTAAGAGTTCAGCATCCCTAAGCAGAGAGATTTTGTATACTGAATCTTTTATGACAGAATGGAGTATATTGATAAGATCTTCATTTTTAGAACGTCGTATAGATATTTTCTTTGTTGCTGAACAGTGTTCTTGAACGTTTTTGGATAGAAGACACTATGTACAATCTGAAAACCACACTGCATATGGGCAAACATTTTGATAAATGTACACATCGAGATGATTTAATACAAGATCTTTATCATTTAACTTATTTTCGATTGGTTGGAGAATACTAAAATCAATGATGATGCCATGACTGTTCCTTTGTACGAAGTGGAATTCATCAATATAAATTATTAAGATCATGCATGTTTTCATTTTATCATTTTTAATAATTACGTTTTCTAGTGATTTTAAATATCTAATTTATTTAAAGATTAACCAGGATTCGAACAAGAAGATTTGTAGAATCTTTTTTTTCTTTCTTTCGAAACTCTTCATCACTTACAAACAGGTAAAAAATGATCAAGGATAATCATTGAAATTAACAATAAAATGTTTAATACATTCTCATTCAAAAATACTTGTAATCGACAATTAATCATAAAATTATAACATCAGAAATTCACATTGTACACTAAAATTGACATATATAGATTCTAATAATTGACTCAACAGTCATTTTTATCTAAAAAAAATAATCTAAGTTCATGATATTTACTTTCTGTATCGAAAAACTTTTCGCAACATCTTAATCAGAAAAAGAATTTTAACCTTTATTTATTTATTTGTTTCCAACTTTTAAAACGAAAAGAAAATCATTTCACAGTTTGTTATCTAATAATAATCAAGTCTAGTTGTAAATTCTTTTACCGACATAAAACACAGAGTAACTCATTTTTATAAAAGATTGAAAAAACTTATACTTCCATCCCGTCACATTTGAATACTTCCACAAACAGATTTTAAATTCATTCAAGTTTGACACAAGGAATACCATTTCTCTATTTTTTTTTAAAAATTTCCAATAAGTTTAAATGTCCTTTCTCTACTTTTCTTCACTGACACATCCAAAAACATTGTACTAAAGCAACCAGTTTTAAGCAGTGTGAAAGGTAAAAGTTGTATCATCAAATTCGTTGTTGATTTAATGAATGTTAGTAATTAATGTAATCACTAGTTAGTTGCTCTTCACGTATTCGCTGTTCAATTTTAGTAATGCTTCAAAAAATATCTATATCTATCATTAAAATGATTAACAAGGTAATAATGTACACTACTAGAAACCGTAGCATGGTAGTCATAACAAACAGATTAACTAATCATTTGATATTTAGTTGATTAGTAAAGTTAAAGCAAGTTGAAAAATTTATTTATACATTTGGCATTTTACACATCACGTTCATCTCATCCATTTAATGACTGAATTATTGGAGTAAAAATGTTGACTAATACATAAATTTTAGTTAAAGTTTTAAATGATATTCATACTTAGTTTTAAATTTAATAAAATACAATTTAAAGCACGGTAGTTCAAGGCTACAAATAAACCATACATTCATTCACATGACACCAAATTACTAATAAAGAAGCCACGAATACATGTGAATAAATCAAGATGATTTTACACTAATCATAACAGGTTATACATTACATAAGATTAGAAATTTTTACGTGTAAGGGTATTCATTGAGAAAGTTATTAAAATAACAACAATCTAAGACAAATAGTATATCGTTCCATTCAATGAGAATTAACTTGATCTGATAGATAAGTATAACACTTGAATATTTACCGAGTTCTGGATTGACAGTTCAGCAGTCAGTTAGTTATATACACAGTTTAGTTAGAATACTCACATTCATTCATTCGCTTTTATCGCATACTGTCTAATTGTACACACTAACTTATACCATATGTACAAAACTCGGTACCTTGTAAGGAACAATTGACTGATTTGTAAAATTTTAATTTAGAATATCCTCCCACAGAATCTACTTTTAGCAGTATTCAATGTTCAATTGCACTTTATCGGCTATACACCAAATGAATGTAATAAACTCATTCAAAATAATAAATCAGTATATTTCAACCATAAATATCTTCAATATAAAGCCTAGTCTATTTTTCGAATAATTGGCTAACTTCCAAGTATGTTTGTTAGTAATAGAAACGGTTCATGTTAATAACTTAAAACTCATTCATTTCAAAATCTTTCCCAATCATCTGAAGAATATTTACGTAGCAGAAGTATTGTCATGGTTTCCAGAACTACCAATTTGGGATATAAGGCTTCCAGCCTATGAATTTTTGAGAATTGTTTTTCTACCAGAAAATTTACTAATCATTACGGAATAGACAAAATACATAGATCGGTTTTGTGTAAATCATAACAAAATGTAGTCTTCGAAAATCTTTGACGAACAATCTTAGGATATATGTGATGGGTTCCCATTGCTTTTAATATAAAAACCCATATATCAGGATTGATCCTCGTCAACAATCAAATTAATGAAAGGCAGTGTAGTGGTCGACTGGTTATATCATTCATCATACACGTTTTAAATGTCTCATTAACCCTAATGTGTTGGGGTCTCTGCACAGATTAAAAAAGTTAGGGTAGCTTTTGGGGAGACTCTTGTGTTACTCAAATCGGAAGAAATAGATAAAGATATCAAATCAGTTGGTAAAATAGTGAATATTTATCAACTGATATGATCAGGACTGTTTCTACCTGTGTCCAACTATTACCTACATGAACGCGCGATTTATATCGGTGTATGGTGGAAGAAAGCTAGAGAAATCGCTTAGTGGACGCACATTTCATTACTGATGTGAGAATATATGGAAATGATGAACGAGTTTCATTGCTTTCTTTTGATTGCGGCATTATTCACGTTCAACTGACAGTATTTGACTGTCTTGTATAGACTATAAACTGTGATTGCAGAAGGAAGTTGAATAAAACAATCGTTAAATGGAATATTTCCAATATCTATGATCAATATCTTTTTTATACCAACAGTGAAACGTTTGCAAAATGACTCATCATAAATACCATCGATGTCGTCACTTGTTGTCTTACATACTACTTCGATGTTTGTTGTATCACTGATACTACATCAGTCAGTTGACACTGATAACCATCCTAACTATCGAAACGAAGAATGATTATACAAATGTTAAAGCGAGTCATGTAGGTAGACGAAGACTGTCTGGTCGGGGTCAGGATGATTATTATCACGAATGGTTGCTCAGTGACATAGCTCAGATGCATTCACAGTTACTTCCCTTAAATTGTACAAATATGGTTATGCTTTAGATTCAGCAAATTCATGTACTCTTCTCTTATAATACTGTCTATGTGTTATCTTTTTATTGCTGTCAGTGATACTTCTACTGTTACTCCACTGTTTGTCGAGGTAATTTCATCTTAAATTATAACTATCAAATTTCTATTTCTGCAAACTTACATAGTAAACAGACAAGAACAACGCGATCAATACACATTTTAACTACTGAAAATATTTTTGACAAACAAAAACCATTCTGGTCATACTTCTTCTTCTTCTCACATTATCGATTGAACAGTTCAGTTCGTAATAAGAAAGAACTAAGCAGAAATTATATAAATATTGTTATTTGTATATTTTTCTTATATTAGGATATTTTAATTCATATCAAACGGAATGCATTGGTTTTTGGCTTCAAAAAAAGTATACATAGTAGAAAAACATTTACAAAAAAAGAAGAGAGAGATGTGGATGTTGTTGTTAATTTTGTTGTTATTATTATTATTTAGATGTCATGGTCATATTTCATTTGATGCATTTTTCGCTAATGATGATGGATATGGAGTTACAAATTACAAGTATAATTAATCAATACAAAGTAGAAAATAGTTATTGCCTTATTAAATACAAACAAATATGGAGAGAAATTATTACAAAGAAAAGAATGTTATTTTTGGAATAGCAAAGAAAAAAAGTAAATGATGACATGCAGTTATTTACAGTATATTTAAAATAAGAGATAAATTCACCGGAATCGTTTTTTTTGCCCCTAAAATAATAATTCATTCATCTGTTCAATGAATGTTCAAATGGTGTATTCGTTCAGGGAACGCGCCAAAACATATGGAAGCAGATGGATTTTGTTGAAGAACATTGAATTTGTCATGATATAGAAATAGAAATATTAATTAATATTATCACTGTTTTGGAGTGTGGAGTCATTTGTTGATTCTTCCGGCAAAGATGAGCTCATTTGATCTTTTGTAGGAGAATATACTGAATCGGTATTTTGGAATCTATCTAATGGTGAAGTAGACTGATGCACATCATTGACATTTTCATTGTCATTGTGATAAGCTTTTTCTATCATAGTTTCATCAGTGTACATCAATCGTTGTTGGTCATAATTTTCTGGAATTGATTGAATATCAGCTAAACCATTGGATCGATTTAAATAATCTAAACTTTCGGATGATGTTAAATGAACAGTGATATTATCTCTTGGTGTAAATCCTGGATGTCCCATTTCCATATGTCGCATCAAATGATCTTTACGATAATAGGCTTTAGAGCAAACACGACATTCAAATGGTTTAAAACCGACATGTTTTAATGCATGACGTTGTAAATTTGATCGTTGTGTAAATTGAGCTTGACATATATGACATCTATATGTACCGTGTTGTGATAATGTATGTTGTTCTAGTGTATGCAATGATGGAAATTCTTCTTTACATTGATTACAAGGAAAACGACGATTTGTACTTGGACGTCTAATTGTTGTTAACCGACCAGTTTGTCCAATATTTACACGTGTACGACGTCCTAATTTCGCTGGTGTATTCGGTTCAGAATTCTGTTTTTTTCTATCATCAAATTGATCATTACATTTGATTTGTTGATCATTCATATTGAATTTCATGGAACAATTTGAAAACAACTCATTATTTGTTGATGTGGACATTTTCCATACAGCTTGAATTTGATTAAATGCAGCTAATTGTTTTTTATACGATTCTATGATATCTTGTTCACGATTAAAACATTGTAATTCATATTGGTCTAATTGATCATGTAAATTAAAAGGTTGATAATGATCATCTGTGATGATAGTGTTGTTATTGTTGTTACTGTTGTTGTTGTTGTTAGCATAATTATACTTATCATTATTCATACCAATTGAATTTGAGGCATGAAATTCTTTCAATGGTGTAATCGGAGCTGAATCCGCTAGAGAACCACCATGGGATAAATCTAACACACCGGAATCAGACGATGGACTTGTTGGACTGGAGGTTGATAACAATGGACTCATTGATTGATTGATTTGTAGTAAATTATAATTATTATTACTATTGGCGTTGTTGTTGTTGTTTGTGGTGGTGGTGTTGTGGTTCTCGTATAGATGATCACTATGACAAGGACTATTGTAATGTATATCAGATGGATAACATTTACTAGGATGCAGCGGTTTACGACGTGATGCTGTTGATTGTTGATAAATTGAATTTTGATCATTACTGTTGTTGTTATTATGATTATGATTATTATCATGATTATTGATATGGGCATTAGTATCTTCTGGTTTATATTCATTTGAATAATTGGATAATTTCTCTGGCATGTCAAATGTTTCATCATTGAAAAATAGAGTGGTTGTACTAATAGTATTGTTACTATTATTATTATTATTATTATTATTATGATTGGTATGATTTGTGCTTTCAACATGATTGTCATTCGGATTAGTATTGATTGTATTCATGGATATTTCTAATCTACCTTTAATGTGCAATTGTATAGTCGGTGGAAAACATTCAGCCAATGCATGACGTATAGCTAATTGTAATAATGGTGTACAAATGGGTAAAAGTTCTGGACCGATTAAATTCACATTTGAACTGATAGCTTTGGTTAGAGATGATGTCAATGTGAAATTTGTAAATGATGTATCGTGATTATTTTCAGAATTCTTTAATGTTGTCATATTGATCATCGAATTGTTAATTTTACTATTGTTATTATTATTGTTATTATTACGATTTGCAATGACCATTTCATATAATGGTATTTGAAGAGCATGTAAATTTAATAAATCAGAATTATTCTGTATTAATGGTGTTTGTTGTTGATTAGGATGATAAGGATGATGATGAACATGTGTAGAAACATTGTTACCATCATTTTGTTGATGATGATTTTGATTGAGAATATTGTTTAAAAGAAATGGTAAATAGTCATGATTGAGATCATTTAAACCAGTTGTATTCAATAAAGTTGATTGAGTTATTAAATTTTCTGATGTCGAATGACCGTGATGATGACCAAATGATGGTAAGACTGGTTGAGAAACCATGTGTTCAATTCTATGAGGAAAATAAAATAAAGAAAGTAAGTGTATAAGGATAAAATGTGTACATCAGTCGCATGTCATGTTACACATACAAAGAAGCAATACATCGATTCCTTAAACAATAATTTTTTGACTATTTGAGAACAGTCATTACATTTAAAAAAGGAAAACAACTGAAGCCTTAATTGTTCTGAATATGAACTACTAATATCTAGGAACAGATCCACCCTTATTACTATTAGTCATGAAAATTTCTTACAAACTGACTGAAGATCAATACACGAACTAATGCGATTGTTATTGTTATTTGTCGAGTACGTAATTCTCTACCATTAAACTAGAAAGGAAAATGATTGACCAAGGATATCTAATGACTATAAACTATTCTAAATTTAAATTTATTGTTACCTCTAGGAAAATAAAAGAAATTTGCAATACCTAAACTATTCGCATCAAATGAATTCTGACTGATGTAATAAAATCGATATTCGGCCAGGTGCATACGAGATAGGCAGGTGTCGTTAAAATTTGTGATTTGTGATTGAATACCTCTACAGTATTTACTATGAGATGATCGTATATTATAATTCTCAATTTCCCTAAGTGAACAATAAATCTGTCCAAAAAAAGGCTTTCAACTGACAAACAATGTTCAGAATGATCAAATTATACAATCTCTCATTAATGGTTGCGATTTCGAGGAAGTGTTTGCATAATTGGTTATGTTCATCTATATGTAACAGTCCTTAATTATTTTAACGGTTCCTGGTTACGCGGATTACACTAAACAGTGACGAGTACAATCTTTTAATTTTAGATAACTAATGAGAATTCATATTTTTGCCGCTAAAACATTTAGTTAGAGCTAACAAGCCTATTGCCAAGTACACGATTGGGACTGGTATAGTTTACATAACAGTGATCTCTCTACTTATATCATATTCAATAATCATTTTTGAAAAAAATATGGTTTCTAGGAGAGATCTATGTCAAATAACTGAAATTTGACTATATACTAGATGGTAAATACAACAATGAAGGCAAGTGTTAGAATTCATTGATTCTTTTAATCTGTCAAACAATATTCTTAACAATGATGAAAATCCACTAGTGAACAAGTTATACAATCTACTACAACTAGTATCTTATTAACACTTACAGAAGACACAAGTCCTTCCTTATGGTTTATTAAATGAAAAGAATTTACTTTTGTCGTAAATCAACACCAAACAATAGTTAATAGTCAATGACTTACTAATTAATCAGTAGACTAAAATAGTTCAAAGATCCTTGTATAAAAATAGTGCGTTGTGAATAATTTTGTGAGGTTAAATTCATTTGTTTTTATACTTCTTTTATCTAACAAATTGTCCATTAGCTGTCACCTTTAGCCAATCAAAATTCAATGCGAGTTATTGGCCCAAATTTTTCACATATGACGGATTAGTATCCACTGACACTTGATTGTTGTCTTGACTACGTACCTAGACACATACATACACAGCATGATGATGACCACTTTTACTATTAATTCTAATAAACCTATGACCCCTTTGTCTAGTCAGTGCGTAAGTAATATATATGTTTAAGCAACAGGAAAAACATGAGGCAGGAGTGATGGCATGCAAAGTGAATACGCAATCTTACGAAAGATTAAACTAGCCAATCAGAACTGAGATTTGTTATCTGATTACACAAGATTAGTTAGTTTATGAGATTCATTTGTCATTTGATAGATGAAAAAATAATTATAAATAAAACTTATTAGGCTAATTGTAATTGGTGGCATTTAGGTAGGATAGATGAGTTTCATGGGGGAAAAATTCCCTGTGATGTAATTTTGATAATAGCTGTCATATGGATGACAAAATGCAATTGTGAGGATTTTTTAATAATAAGAGCGATTGTTATGGATTGAAATTTGTGATAAAAATTATGAAATGTATATTAATTAGTGTAGTTACAATTCGAATATAAATAATTATCCTATTAAAACAAATGAAAATAAGTAATCAGTTTAGAAGAATGATGTTTAAAAACATCATTCATAAGGTTTCAACTTCACCTAATCGTCAATCCAAAAAGAAAACTTCATCTAACTCTGTATTCTAGCCCATTTACAACATCATGAAGTAACGCTGACATGTGTTCTATGCTGTAGAATATGCATTCTAACCCATTTCCCTATTTTTGTTTTTGCCTACTTAGTCAACAGTAATTTGTTCAATTTTCTAGTCAGTCAGTCAGTTGCAACGTAGAACTTCGTACGTATTTACATAAGTTCAGGTTGCCATACCACATCATCACAGAGACGCAAGCGTCAAATCAAATCCCATAGTGATAGAGATAGTAGAGGTATTAATGGTAATGAATAAGACTATGGTTTGAAGATATTATTCAAGAAGTATGATTTAGTGAGATAAGGTTAGAAAGACAAAGGTAGAGGTGCTGACGAATCCAAAAGATTAGGATTTGAGAGAGCACAATGAATGGATGCACCTGTGCCATTGCAAACGATTTTGAGCCATGTCATTCAAGGTCTCTAACCATCGGTGACTTTCGTCTCGCGAACCCCAATCAGGTAGTCTACATCTACCAACATGACTCAGTCCACTTGTCAATGACTTCATGGGTTTCTGCCATGTTTTGGTCTGGCCGCCCCTAGCTTTCTTCCAACCTACTCCTACACCACAAAACATAGCTCGTCGAGGCAGTAGGTGGTTGGGCATTCGTAACTCATGTCCCAACCACCCCAACTGATGAAGTTTCACCACTTCATCTATTGATCTGCCATCCTTACCCAGTACTCGTTTCCTAACGACAGCATTACTTACTCGGTTGTCCCGCGATATACGAGCAATGCTTCTAAGATATCTATGATCGAATACTAGTAACCTACGCACATCTTCTACTCTTAATGGCCATGTTTCGCATCCATAAAGGAGAACGGAACGAACTGCTGCGTAGAAGAGACTATCAAGTGTATGATTGTATACTATTAGCAAATTATTTTTATCTTGTTAGTATGAGATATTGATTATTAGATAATTTTCTTGTGATACTTGAAATCACTGAACACTTAATGATGCGCTTTCCTTTTATTTTTTCCACCATACTCGTATGCTATAGGAAATTTTTTACTAGAAATGACTATACAACTGATGATGTTACAAAGGAAATTTTCCTCATTGAACTTGATGGGAACGTAAGATCCTCAGAACTCACTTAAAGAATGTGAGGTTGAATAATTTGTTTCTGAAATTTTGAATTTTTATACTTTTGCGCCAAAGACGCTTAGCTGATCTTCAGCTTACATTTCCCCATCGGAAACTCCTTAACTATCTTTGGTTGATGGATTATTTTAGTACACTATTTTATGGTTCTCACTAAGGGCGTTTTATAATTGTATAAATAAGCTTGAGTTGTGTGCTTGTGGACATCGTATTTTCTGGGTGCCTGTGAATACATTCTCTCTACGTTTTTTCAAGACTTCTTCCTTTAGTCAGCTGGGCCCGAGACAATCGAATTAGAATAGCCTATCGTGTCACTGGATCGTTGATCCGTTTACCGAGTAAGGTGAACTGGTAATAGCATTCAAACATATCAGAGCTGTTTTTCACTCTTCATAAATTGTAATTATGTTAACCGAAATTAAAAATGTTTTTAAAAAGAATAATATGACATGACGTTGTGAAGATTATGTTATAATTGGGATTGAGTCATTTATTAAGTGAATAGGAATTGAAGTTTAACAACGTTATCTTTTACCAGGAATGCATAATACTGGAGTATACGGCTCACTAACTGAACTTAGAAATGTGAACTATCAGATGCCGAGTCACTGATCTATGTTTATTAACTTCTTGACGAAAGACTTGAATATCTTGAATCCTTATCTACTGTTGAGTAGATCCATACTAGGACGAAACAGCTATGCAATGCTGTTTGAATGGTTATTCAGCCAAAATATGTTCTGATGTAAATTATAAAACTTACATTTTAACTACACTAACTTACCAGTTGTCACTACATCTATATGGTCGCCGTAATGTTAATTTGATTATATGAGGATTAACTTTGAAGTGCATCCATTTAAATTTACTTTGAGCAATAGTAATTTTGTTATTCAATCTATTTATAAGTTATATGTTCGACTCCAGCGAGCAGGGGTCGTGAGTGCGCACTGTTGACGAGTCCAGCGGTTTCAGGTTTCTAATAGTAGTCTAACATTGATTCATCATAATGATTAGAGCATTCAGTCCTAAATTACAATCTAAAAGTTTAACATCTTCATTTTAAGTTTACTCTCAACATAACATAATCCTCGATCGAATTCAGTAGACTATTGCTTCATTTCTAATTTAATTGATTCAATAAAAAATTTGACAAAATCCATTTCACTATTGAGCACATAATTATTAATAAGTTAAGCATTTTTTTTCTAGTTGTTGTAAAGATTTCGAAATACTTCGTGATTTTCAGAATATTTCATTAACTGTTGTGAATCATTGATCAAGACACTGTGACTAATGAGTCGATGTAGCCTTCATTTCAACATACAAAAATAAAAAGATATCTGTACTAAATTTATCATCTCATAATTATATAAATTCATTGTAAATATTTGTTGATAAGTCTAAAATTTTTTCTAACTGGTATTCTCAGATATTTATCTAAACTTGGTTTACGCCTCTTACTTATTAATGTTAGGTTGTTTTTATGGTATAATGAAAGTGTCTAAAAAAACTTAGGTATTTGTTTATATATGATTTTTAATATGCCTATTAGAGCGAAATAGTATTGTTATGTTAACTGAAGGTAATGAGATATAATCAATTCCATACTGATAATATGTCTACTTTTTTTAACGTTGAACATTGAATTTCTGATACCTTTCTAGCCCAGAGAAGAATACTGAAAGTACGAAATATGAGAAGGATTAGGTACAGAAAATAAATGGATCTATAAGTTTATGCCTAACAATTGGATCCTAGAACCTACCA